AAGAGATTAGACATACTGCATAAATGAAGTAAACTTCTTGGAAAGAGGAGTTTGTCTGAAGAATCTCGACATCACATCAGACACACTTGCCTTTGGAATAAAGCATGTGGTGGGTACCACACCTGCCCGGAGCAACCCTTGGATACAGAATGGATACATGGAGAAAGGCTTATGAAGACAAGCTTTGACATTAATAGCTCAGATCTCAGCACTTTAAACCTTTTGATCATCTAGCTGAACCCAGCTACAGGAAAACTCCATTTTCCCTGATGAACTGATTACCAACTGAGCTAGTCCAACTTGACATTCATAAAGCCTCTAATTTGCAGGCCAGCTAGGAAAGAGAAAAAAAAAAGGCTCTCCAGCCACAGCACAGGAATATTTCAGCCCGTCATTTGCTTCCATATAGAGCTGTTCCTGTGCAGTTTGACATTCCAGTGACAAGCCTGTTAGCTACATAGTGCTGAATAGCAATGAAAATCTCGGGAAATACACAAAATCATAGTGCTTCTGTGCTCCCCTTTGTTCTCTTTCTGCCTCAATACACTGCCTGCATAGACTGCTGGTGTTACAGGTCTGCCTGTATAGAGGCACATGCATCAGACACACCATGGCTGAATGCATCTTACAAGAAGCTCCAACCCCCATATCCTGCACAACCCATCATCATCAGTCACCAGTTGCGGACACTAAAGAATTAAAATGTATGATAACGAAGTTCACTTATTAATTACAGTAACTAAAATATAACTTGTTCCAAACATCTGATAATGTTACTCACGTGTGTCAGTGTACAGACAGAAGTAGGCTTTGCATGACTACCTGTTACAATGTTCTGCAGGATCAGGTCTTTGCTCCAACAACATGTCTTGCCCAGATCATCCAAAAAGACATTTTTGTAGAGATATTATGGGATTTTTGTCCCATAACTTTGGAATTTTTTGACATAAATATCTGCACTTCAGGAAAGAAAGAAGCAAACAAATCTGGGACTAATTATCACAACTGGGTAAGAGAACATAGGTTGGACAAGAAATGACTTTTCCTCTCCCTTGACTACAATGGAAAGCTTAAGTAAGAATGTCAGATGGAAATATCATACATATCTGAATTCAAGTGAGACAAATCCCACCTTATGTCTAAATCCTTTGGCTCTTTTGAGTCAAAGCTGTTTTGTTGTAATGAGCTCGATTCTCAAGAATTTTTGTAACATTCAGGAAAGCCTTGCATGACTGTTTATCTTCACGTTGCCAAATGTTTAGCTAATGTTAGCTGCTTGTTTGACTTTTACAAGAAGCAGACAGCAAGGTCTACTACATACACCTAAACTAAAGAGGAAATCTCTCCCTTTATGTCCCCTGTCATTCACTTCAGGTGAGAAGTCAGTACCCACATCTGAATTTGGACGTAATGCTTACGTAAAATATTGAGAATTACATATAATTTGGTGCTTTGATTACAAAACCCCACACAAACAGCTATACAGTGTACAGTTTTTGTGATAAAACGATTTTAAATTTTCAAAAAGGTAAAAATGGCATGTAGAAAGTAATGTGATAAAACTTGGGTAATGCTACCCAAGCTATGCATCAGCAATTACTGAATAACAGAGCTTTTCAAAACCTCATAGTATGTCTTTCTTTCCTATTTCAGAATCAATTTTCTGGTTTCTAATTTTCTTTTTCAGAATTCTTGGAATTAATACTGGAGGGGTTAGAAATGAGCAGTAAATCCAGTAAACCACTATGTCCTTTCCATTTCAAGCCTTCTGTCTTTGCAAGTTATCATAAAGGCAAATCTGCTATCATGAGAGGAGCTCAACATGTGAAAATTAATCCGTCTTCCACAGTATCTGAAATCTTTGATTCGGAAATCTTAGTATCTTACAACTCTATCTGTTCTGCAGTAGAAATCCAGTTGGGGATCAGAAAATTTCTATTTCATAGTAACTTAAGGTTCAATTACAGTATTCTTATAAATTTTATTTATGAAGCATGAAAGCTTCCTATTATACATAAAACTCAAAAGACCATATGCAACATCTGTAAAAATAAGGAGATCCAACTGAGTTTATATTAATATGCTTTTGCCTAGAATTCAGCATGCTGGTGTCAGCAAAGCATTTAGTAAGGGCTTTACTTTGAGCCCATGATGAAGTACCTAAATGAATTAAAGCAAACTACTAACTTGCTTAAGAGTTTAGTAACATAAAAATAATCTTAACTGTGTGGAAAATCAGGATGACTATACTGTTTTACATGCTCCTTAATTATTTTTAAATTCCATATTAATATGTGGAAATATTGTATGCAAAATTTTATGATTCATGTATTTGACATTAATTTGCCTATTGTAAGATTAAAGGATTTAACCAATTAGACAAGAATATAAAAATATTTAGAGTAATCCCTGTACTTTTCTCTTGTAGTTTATTAGAAACACTTTCCAATACGCAACGTTATTTTTTAATTTTTAAAGCATGGGGGACAGATAGCACTTTGGAACTGTGGGTCATTGACTGATATGCTTGTTCCAAGATGACACAGTTACAAACTCTCTAAAATCATTCAGAATTTGAAATTAAACTATGTTCAATATTTATCAAAGATGTATACAGAAACCTGCAAGGGGTTGAGCTGAGCACACTTCCTACTGAAGACATGATGGAATATAAAGCTGCATATTCTTGAATTCATGCATTTGGCAAACTACGTGGAACTTAGCTCAAGTCTTAATGAGGAAATTAAAACAGAAATGTTGAGCTATCTAGATGATACATTTAGAAAAACTAAAAGGAATGTTCTTTTTATTCCAGGTCACTGTTGAAAACCATCTTCAATTTAAAAAAATTACTATAAAAAATAAAACAGAAATTTGCCTGGACGAATAAACTGTTTTTTTTAATTTCTGTTTTCCATGAAATGTTCAAAAGTTAATTGCAAACTAACCTGGATACGTGCCTTAGGTAATTCTTTATTTCTGTTTTGTGCCAAAAACAGTAAAACTAACTAACAGTGAAGCAAAACAAACCTCATGTATTTCCACACCTTTAATCATAACTAAAATTAAGAATCTCTAATTTGATTGTTTTAAATGGGAGATACTCTTTGCAAAACCAATTAACAGTGGTTTTGCTTAAGTAACAAAACACAATTAGAATACTTGTCAGCTAATGAAGTTTGATTATATGAAGAATTATCTTTCTCCAAACTCTAATTTAAGTATTTATGAAAAGTTTTTGTTTTAAAGCTGGGGGTTTTTATTTCAAACTGATACTGTATCATTAGATTTGATTATAAAACAAGAAAAAATACTTTAATCGTTTTTAGAATCATATCTACCAGAAGTCATGCTACACAAATTCAGAAACATTTGGAAGCTGGTCCATAAATCAGGCCATCAGAATTGAGTGCTATTATGATCTATTTCCAGAATATTATCACATACAGAATATATGAGGGTTTTTAAGTGAACACAATACATCTATTAGGACTAAGTGCAAGAATGCATGAACTTTAAAACTGACTTCATCACAAGCTAAGCAAACCAGAACTTCAGTTACTTGCCCTACATGTACTGCAGCTTTTCAAATTCCTACAGTGTCAGCTACAGATTGACAGATGCCCAGCTCCTGAGGCTTCACCAAATATAAAAGCAATAAAAATAATTACAGTATGGCAAGGTTAAGCAGTTCCATAGTAACTAACTCAGCAAAGCACAATGCTCAGTATGAGCTTGACATCACTGTGGAGGACTGAAAGGTTCTGCATTGCCACTGGCAAAACTCTGAAAAGAAAGATGACTAATTCTGTTAAACAGGTGAGATTTAATAACGTTAAAAATGAACAGCTGCTTTAAACTTAAATAAACAATTATTGTTTTTAATTACACTCTACCCTATCCTTACAATTGTCACAAGTCTTTTGACTTAGTTGCCATCAATAAATCTTGTATGCAAACAGTAACCTAAAATAAGGCACAGCTCATTGCCTTATTCTTTCAAAACTGGCATTTTCAGGATATGATTCAAACATACTAGAAATCTGGGTTGGCAATTACATATTCTTTCTCCAACAGTCTAACTTACTACTACATCATACCCTAGAGAGAAAAGATTAACACTGCTTGAGCAACACTTAAGCCTTTTGTTAAATCAGACCACCGCAAAATAAATCTATGAGTTTATCTTCCACCAAATAAAAAGTTTTTAGGATACTGTAAAATCCAGTTGCAATCCCAAGTGAAGCTGAACCTTTTTGCATAACATACACACCAACACATACAAATGCATGAAAAATCTGTGAAACCCCTATTTAGTGCATATATCTTTTTTTCAAATGTTAAAGGAATATCTATTGCCTCTCTCTTTCCTCTGTAGTTTACTGGAAATAATTTAAGTTAAGAATAAATTTTACCAAAAGTTCTATTCTGCTATTTAGCTCCTACTCATTGTAACAAATTAAATATGTGCTGGACAACTTTTGCATCAGGAAAATTAATAATTTGAAATAATAATAATGTGAAACATGCCATCTAATTCTGAAATAAAATAAAGCAGCTGACTTTCCAGCTTTACATGAGCTAGGGAGAGAATACCAAAGTTATATTGTCTGTTTAGCTGAATACCAAAGTTGTATTGCCTGCACAGTCAACAATTTATACATTGTATTAAATCTTCTAACTCATTATTTTAAGTATTTTGCAAATTATACAGTATGATCTAAAAACCTATACAGTCTATTTATTATCCATAAATAATAATTTTACCTTTCTGTATGGATACCTGATAATTTTACCTTTCTGTATGGAATTTTCTCTTACTTTATGCCTCTCTTTTTGAATTTGCTGTTTAAGGTAGCTCCTAGCATTTTCTGGGTTCATAAATCTGAATATTCTATCGAATGATGATTTTCTTTACATTTTAAGAAACAAATAAATACAGCCAAAACACTGCCCAACACCACTCTCTGAGCTTTCTTGAAAAGAAAAGATGACAGTACCTGGTGAGCCTGCAACAACTGCTCAGCAAACTGACGGACTCCCGATAGGAGAAGGGGTATTAAAGAATTTCTTAGTATGTTGTTCCCTCCTAGCAAACCCAGCGTTTGTGATACAGAATGCAGTGCCTGAAACTAAAGAGAAATAACAGTAAATTTAATCTTTCAAAATGCATCTCAGTCTTTTTTTTATCCCAAATGATTACTTTAAGTAGAAATAGGATTTACATATTAAAATGTTAAAGTAAAAAGTCCAGTTCAAAATTCTATTGATTACAGACTATGAGAAATCGACATCCATCCTCACAAGAATAACACCACAGGAAACTGTCACAGTAACAAACTCCTCCAAAAGTGTGAACTCCCCAGGACACTGCTTTTCAGGATTAGATGTCACCATACCCATCTCCTCACATAGCAAATTGGTGACTATTCTGCACATACAGTTCTTCTGCTTTTCATAGCTAGACAAATAAATGAACAAACTCTTTGAAATTCAAACATGCAAGCTGAGAGCTGTAATAGGGTGTTGTCAATATAGTTATCAGGAAAAAAACTGATTAAATGCTAACTGCTAGAAGACGCACTATGTATCTGTATGTATTTTCAAATTCAATTAATTCACTTTCATATTGTTCTTTAACAATACATTTCTCCTGAACCACAAGAGGAGTGATGTAGACTTACATGAGAATTATGTTAGTAATTTTTTGCCACAGTTTCTTCTACTAAAAAAAACCAAACTGTTTTCTTTGTTCCCTGAAATTGAAATAAATAGCTATTATGTAATGAAGCATACTTCTCTACATAGTACACAAGATATTTCTATATGTAAATAGAAATACTGGAGTTATTTCAAAGGAAAAATAAGACACATTAATTACAATTATTATAACTTGTCTTTTTATATAAATGCATATCCCCTACAACATTAATATTCAGTAACTCTTTGTAAATGAGTATTTTTGACTGACAAACTTCTTACACAAATCCGTATGCGTAAGAATAACTATGATGTCTGAACCACTCCAACCAGATCACTGCATCCTATTAACAATCTAGATTATACCTCCAGCCAACTCACATGTGCTGCAGATGCAGACAAATATATAGCTATATATATATATATACACACACATATATATGAATAAAAATACTTGCCCACCATTTACAAGTTTGAATCCTGCTGGAAAACTTTTCCAAACACACAAAAGGCAGGAAGGTGTTCCAGGAGCACTCAGCATGATTTTATTTAGGGGAAGCATTTACCTCGACTTTATCATGGTTTTCAACATGGCCTCCTGTAAAATTGTCACTGATCAAATTTTGGGCTAGGGAAGTGGTCAGTGAGGTAACTGAAATCTTTTGCTGTAAAACCCATTTATTAGGCAGCTTCACATTTATAGTTCTTGCTTGACTGCCTGATCAGCAGGTGATGCAATGTCTATTTCCCAGCCTCTTCCTACTCGTAAAGGGTTGGGTCAGCTTGGTTATCATCTGCCCAACATGAGACTCCTATGCACAGTCCAATCCAACTTTAATAAAAATTTGCCCTCAATCATCTCACTTCTGCATGTAATTCCAAAACAAGTATCAAAAGAAATCTACAAAAGAGATACAAGTCTCAAGTTCAGAACCAAATCTTCATGCAGAGATACAAAGAAAACGCCTCCTATTAAAAAGAATTCATAAATTGTACACATACAGCTTTGAAAACCTGTGTAATTGAAATTATTCATTAACATATACACCAAAGAGTCTATAAATATGAAATGAGAATGAAGATGTGATAAAAATAGGTTTCTGAATAATGAAAATTATATAAAGGGATAATGTAATGCATGCACTACCTATGCTTTGAGGCTATACAAATTAAAATGAGACATTCATATACTAGAAATATATACCCTTCCAAACAAAACAATGACTCCTCTTTCTAAAAATAAGGTAGAAATTACCATTTTGAAAGCATATTCCGCAGTATCTACTAGAAACAAGTTTGCAACACCTGGATAGTTCTGCCTTGAGAGCAACCATGTTCCCGAGGTTACAACTGCTTCAACTCAAGGTTTAAAAAATGCTTTAAAAATAGCACATTTTTCAGTAAAGTTACCATTAATTTTATTTCTTTTAAAAAATTAAGGAGGAATACAAATTTTACAGTTCTATATTTTCAGAGCATAACATTGAGTATACTTGCTAATTTGCCTTTGGTGAGCAAGCAAACTACGCAATCCAGAGCAGTTTTTCAAGGTAACCTCTCCAAAAGATCACAGTAAAACATAAACATTTTTCTTGTTTAAGCTCTCTTCTATTTGCTTACATAATTTTTGATAGATAATGCAGCAATGATATTTTTTGGTGCAATTATTAATGTTAGCAGCTGAGATTTAACTAAAATAGAATCTTTCACAAAATTTCCATATCTTTTATGGTTTGGCAACAGTTGCCATTTTTTATTTGGAATTTTTGAAGACTAGATAACAAGGGACCTTGAAATTTAAAGACTCGGCCTCTACTAAGAGAAGTAAGTAGGTATTTTGTATTTTGCAATGATGCCACTTAGGGTACTTGAGATATGAGCATCAATGGCACTGAAAAATGCCACTGATGAATTTATTAATACTTAATAAATATTCTTATTAAATGTATCCTTATAATATAATATTTCCCAGTTACTTATTATAGAAAATATATTGTAATTATCTTTAATAAATATTAATACTGATTTTTTAAAATTCCACTGATTTATTAAAGAGCATAGGTTTTACATTGTATCTTGGTGGACCTGGGATGTTCCTATAAGAATATTTTAAGAAAATAAGAGACAACAAAGAAGGTTAAAATAATGCTTATAGACTGTGTGGATTAAATGCACGCAGAACAAATAAGCATATAAGCAATGCAGCATGTAAGCAATGAATCTGCAAATAGCAAACAAAAGTAGGACCTTGTTGTACAGCAATACAAACATTCCCTAGCCCAAAACAGCTCGTGTATTGCCAATTTTACTCTGGAAACATTCAAACAAAAAATCTAATAATATATAGTTTCATTAAAGATAAAAGCATATATTCAATGCTCTAATCTATCCAATGTTTAAAAGGAACAGAAATCTTTTAATCCCTTAGGCTTGTTTAATGTTGTAGATTAAATAAAACCAATGCATTTCAGGAATCTTCACGTAAAAGCAGTCAGAAAACTGGATTGTAAAAAATATACCATTAGAAACAGGAAGCAATGGAGCCTGGTTCACTGTTCAGGTCCTGCATCACCTCTTCCCAGCCCTCCTCCCACATCCCAGGTTCTACTGTCTTCCCATGTTACTCAGGATGCAGAGCAAGAGAGGGCAACGCTGTGTCAGCAGCTGGGAAGGATGTGTGCATTGTCAACCTGGCTCTTGCCAAAATGAATATATAATGTCAATGTTCAGCTTATCTCAGGCGTACTAACTGGGTCCCTCCTTCACTCAGCTAAAGATTTTAAAGCCTACTTGAAGGTATTATTGACCTTTCACTTCTTTCCAAGTGATTTCAACATGGCTATCAAAATTTACTTGCAGAGGAAATGACTGATAACCAAAGCAGACAGCATACATACTGTAAGCCCTGTTCCCCAGGAAACAGCATTAAAAACTTTAAAAAATAATTTTTTAGAACTCATTTATCAGCATGTTAGATTTTTTTTAATAGAGGAGATCTAAAATTTCTGAGTTAAATTCCTTCATGAGTTGCATGATTCACTACACCATGCAGCTGTGTCAACTGCACCTTACTTTCTGTTTTTCTGTTTACAGTTTTTGTCCCAAGTAACAGCTCTCTTTCCTAATAAACTGACATATTTGGCAATACAGGACAGGCAAATAATTATGGCAGGAATCCTCAAATTGTGAAGTCTTACAAACAAAACTATTTTCATCTTTGATTTCACATTGCCCTTGCCAATTTAGTCCAACCTGACTTCCACTCCTAATCATCAATGCCAGTTGAAAACCTCACTTTTATACAGAGAACATTAGCACCTCTTTTCTTATCTTCACATTGCTTCATTTGTTAATTGATGCTTCTCATGTATCTCTCTCTTCCTGTTTACTTGCCAGTATTTCTTCTATCAGTCTCGAAAATTTATACATATTATTTCAACTCTTTGCTCTGCAGACCACATTTCCAGCCCTTACTCTGCCCTTATGCCTTCACTGAATCATACAATCATGGAATGTAAAGGTTGGAAGGGACCTTAAAGACCATCTACTCCCAACCCTCTCTGCCATGGGCAGAGACTCTCCCACCAGACCAGGTTGCCCAAGGCCTTATCCAGCACAACCTTGAACAGTGGCAGGCCTGGCACATCCACGACTTCTAAGGGCAACCTGTTTCAGCATCTCACTGCCCTCACAGTAGAGAATTTCTTCTTAATACTTGGGCTAAATTTCCCCTCTTTCATAATCTTGTTAATGCTTTTCTCCACTCTTCTCAACCTAATGTTCTCCAGTAGAACCATCAGTTGGCTCCACTGCTGCGGGCTGTCACTATCAGGCTTGTCCCTGGCAGGCTGTGAGGTGATATGCAAAGATTAGAGCCATGAGTGCTGGTGAGGATGCTCTGCTGCTGATTCAGAAATGTGCTAGCTGCACTGAAGCACACTTGCAGTCTTAGGGAGATGAGCCAGGGACTCCTGAGGTAACAGAAGCCAGCAGGGAAACACCAGGGAGACAAATGTCTCAAAGGAATTTATGGGTGTTCCTCTAGGAAAATGACATGACTGACAACTCAGCTGAGGTACCTTTACACCAGTGCACACAGCACGGGCAAAAACTGGAGGAGCTGGAAGCCACTGTGCTGCTAGAAAGCTACAACCTTGTTGCCATTACTGAAGCTCAGCGGGAAAAATCCCATGACTGGAGCATGATTGGAAGGCTAAAGAGTGTTCAGAACAGACAGGGGAGGAAGGAGAAGTGGAGAGATTGCTCTCTGCCTCAAAAGCTGGATTGAGTGAGGAGACTTGCCTTAGAAGACCAATCATGAGCAGCTTGAAAGCCTGTAGGCAGGAATCAGAGACTGAGCAACAAAGGGAACCTCGTGACTGGGGTTCATGCCCAGTCTGGACTACATGCCCCTGATCAAGGGGAGCCTATT